ACTGGGTGAAGCTGTGAGTTCAGGAAAGCCTGGCTGTTTAGGGTTTCTGCTGTGATCCGGCTTGGCCCCGATTCCTGGAATGTGGTCTACGCTGGGCATGGAAGAGCTGCGTCATATCCCCCATTTGAATTAGAATAACTGCATCCTTCGGTTATCATCCGGCTACATCCCGCCTTCCGGAAGCCTCAGTCAGCATTATTTATGTATGTTGGAAGAGACTCAAGGCTATGGTCAGTCTTTTAGGGGGGCTGTCCAATCACTGTCCCCAGAGAACTTGATCTCGGTCCACTCTCCAGAAGTGTAAAAGTCTCATGAGACTGGGAGGAGAACATTTTTATACAGATGTGGATTCAGTCAAGGGAGGCTAGGGAGAAGAAACAAGAAATGGGTCTCTGCTTTCTGTTTCTGTTTTAAATAGAATCAGTCCAAGAGAAAGCGAAAGTGCAACCACTGGCTGTGAAGAAACAGACCAACGTCTTCCTGACTCTCTCCCCATCTGTCTTGCAAACCCCACTTTGCCCCTTCAAGACCTTTGTCCCATGGAGGGACAAAAGGAATGTATTTGAACACCCTTGAGATTGAAGTTGAAGATAAATTGTTTTGACAGTTTTGCTTTCTGGTCTCTTTTGGGGGCTGCAGAGGACCGTCGGGGGTGGGGTGGGAAATGCTATTTCACCCCTAAAGCAAAGCCTCGTCCTGTGCAGAGGCAAGCAAACCAGGCAGACTCAGATGAGTACCGATTTGGAAGACAACCGTAGTGGCGTTTCATTTGCATTTTAATAAATAAAGCTTGCCTGAAGATCAGAGAGTAAAACAGCTCCACTGGTCAGCCTTACAGACCAGGCAGTGGTAACACACACCCTTAATCTCAGTAGCCACACTAGTTGCTATAGAAACCAGTCAGTGCCTGCCTTTAATCCCAGCCCAAGGAAGGATTATAAAGTGGGAGGAGACATCTCTCAGTCACAGTTTCATTCTGAGATTCCTGGAGGCAGGATCGACATTTCAGACTGAAGTCTAAGGAAGAGCCAGCTGGTTGCCTTGCTTTTTGGATCTTCAGGCTGAACTCCAATTTCAGTTCCCGAGCTTTGATTAATTGTGCTTTAGACAACAATTTGGGTGCCGTAGGTTTTCTTAGAGGATGTGCCTTCCATTGCTTTCTCGTGCGTGAGAAAGCTAACTGGCTAAGAGCTCAAACACAAGACAGAGCTGGCTCTTCTCACGTTCCTCTTTAGTAGGCCTCAGAGCTGCCCGATCTTATTCCCAGTGACTTGCATTCTATAGGGATCTTGACGGTCCGTTGTCTTTGGACTTCCAAACAGGCCCAGTTCTTTGGGTCAGAGCCATCGTCTTATAGCGTTGGCTTCCCCTGACTCAGCGGCATGCCTGCTGCTCAGCTCTCAGGCCCGCGTTTTGTTGTCCATCCTGTGTCAGGATGATTGGCCGGGTTCCTGGCCATCACCTGTGTCTATGGGAAAACTCTTGGTGGTAAACACACATGACGCAGGTTGTTGCTATGGGATACCGTGACAGCTGGGGAAGGAAGGTTTACTTCAGAACAGACTGAGTGCTCACACATGTTCACTCCAGTGTTGTTTCTAAGAGAAAAAAACAGAAGCGTGGAGAAGATAGGGCTCCTTGGTAGGGGAGATGAGTAAATGGAGGCACGTGGGAACGCCAAGTGAGACAGTGAGCAGCTATTTTAAAGGAAAAGGGACAGCCAAGTTTCCGACAGGCTGACCGGGAAAGTTGGCTGGTGTGTTGCTGTCATGGTGGAGGAGCAGCAGGGAGGCATTCACACGTGTAATGTGCGTAGTCTGGGGAGCGGGAGGGGAAGGCTCAGAAAACACTGGGGACTTCTGGGGACTGAACTCAGAGGTAGCGGTGAGAACTTGATTTCTGTTAGTTAAAAAAATTATGATGGTATTGCTGTGTGTGTGTGTGTGTGTGTGTGAACGCTAGCTAGCTAAGAGAACAGCTATCTTTAGAAGGCACTGAGAAAAGTTGAGTCTAAAAACTCCCCTCCCTGGGCAGGACAAAGCAGGGTGCAGGGAGGGGGATGAGGGCAGCTGCAGGCACGTATTTCCCCCTGCAGGTGATTCTCGGTTCTTCCTGGAGCTCACTACCGGCCAAACCAAGCAAGCCCCCAGCTCCCCAAGGAGACAGAGACTAGGCTGAAGAAGAGACTTCTGAATCCCAGCCTTGCAGAGACTGGACACTCACTGACCGTTGCTGCCATCCTTGCTCTGGAGGACAGGTACTTGCTCCTCAGCGCCTCCCGTCACAGTGAGCTCATAATTCATTACTGTTCCGGAATATTACTTTAATTAGGCAAGATCTGTTACGTTTCCTCATGCTGTAAAATAGTTCTCTCTCTCTCTCTCTCTCTCTCTCTCTCTCTCTCTCTCTCTCTCTCTCTCTAAGCGAGAAAGTCCTGAGGCAAACCGTGGATTCAGAGAAACAGATTAAAATAAGAGCTAAGCTAAGGCAGAGCATCCCAAGCTGATCATACGTCAGTGCGTCATGATTGGGGAGCTGGTCGGCGGCCTAAAAAAAGCCTGGTACCCATTACTCTGTAGCTGTAGATGAATCAGGCAACAACAACAGCAGAAACCCATCACTAGTTCACCACTCCTCCCGGCACAAAGTCAGATTTTACTTTAGCATTCAAGATGTTCGTGGTTGGCCTCCCAGACCCTCCTCCCTCCTAACGCTGTGATTTCTCGGTATTACAAATACATATTCCTTCTTTGAATCTGATAGACAGCTGGTTTGGAATCCTGACTGCTATGTACCCCCATGTGAGCCTAGTTAAGTCTCTTAACCTCTGCTTCTTATTTCCTTGCCTGGAAAATGGGAATTGCAGTAAGAGCACCCACTTCAGGAACCGGCGTGGAGTTGGAGTTAATGCCTGTGTGAGCCGAAGTCTGCATCACTGCAGGGACTGCTGAAACATGGCTGCCCATCCTTCTTCAAACTTTTCCAGGTCTTCCCTAACCACCCTTCTTGGATTTCTTAGCTGGCAAGTCTGGCAGAATGTAGATTCCTTGGCCTAACCCCAGCAAGGCCATTAAAGCCTGCAGTGGATCCTGAGAGCTTGTTCCTAGTGATATGGATAGCGAGGGTCGCTCAGGGATGTGCTGGACCCCATAAACACTGGGGTTCAGTCTTTATAGGTATGTATTATCATACCCAGCTTAGGTGGTGCCTGGGATTGAACCAGGGCTTTATGCATGCTAGGCAGGTATCCTACTAACGGAGCTACAGTCTCAGGCCCTTCCAGTCTTTTTTTTTTTTTTTTTATGTGTTTGTGTGTGTGTGTGTGGTGCTTCTCATAGGAGAACTTGGAAGGGCGTCTTGCTTTTCCTTCTCAGGGTCCTGTTCACTCCTATGTCTCAATCAGTGCCTCCTATGCATCAGGCCCCCAGGCAGTGCTTCTGGACCTGTACAAACCTGCCAGAAATCAGGGACTCCCCAGCCTGATGCCCTGCTCACCTGTGGGACCGCAATTATATACAGCTGGCACCACAGTGACCCTAAGTCCCCAGCAAAGGGATCAGCCTCCCCCAGGTCTGTCTTCCGACAAAGCAGCCCATTTGAGTTTTCTTGAGAGGAAGTAAGTTTTCCTCAACTGGGGTATGCTTAGAGCTCTACATGGTCACTTCAGACTGGATATGAGCACCATGCAGGTTCAGGTTCAAGGGAACTGGCCAGACTCTCCCGGTGATTTGGGTGACAGCTTTGATAATGGATCAACGTGCCGTTTCCAGGGAGCCATAGCTCGGACGTTATTGCCACTCCACCCTGCCGACGGTTCCTGCACTGGAAGTCTGGTCTTGTGTGGTGGTGTGGCAACTTTAAGAGGCTAAGTCTAATGGGAGGACCTCAAATTAGGGGTCCTTGAAGGAGATTCGGGTTCTTATGGGACCCTTGCTAGCCCTCACAAAAGTTATCCTTAAAGTACCAGCCTGGCTTTTTACCTCAGTCAAAGCAGGGAACACTTCTTCCATGTGTTTCCATTATAGCGGGATAGGTCTGCCATCCTCACCAGAGGTCAAATACAGCTGCCTGATCTGGAATCTAGAGCCTTCTATATTAACCCCTTTACTTCCTAAGTGATTTGCTTTGGGTATCTCATGGTAGTAATAAAAGTTCCCCAGTACAGAGGACTGTGGCTATGTAGGCCACAGGACATTGATGTCTTTCCTTGGGAATGGTCTACCTTGCTTTTTAAGGTGGGAGTTATCTTATTGGTCAGCGAGGCTAGGCTGGCTGGCCAGGAAGCCCTGAGGATTCATCTGTCTGTCTGAGATTACATGTCCCCACTGTCACATCAGATATTCACGTCTGTTCTGGGGATTAATTTTAGGTCCCTGAATTTATATGGCTAGCATTTTACTGTCTGAGTCATCTGGGACATTGTGCCCTCCCCTGACATAACCAACCTCATGGTCCTAAGTAGCTCACCCTTACCCAGGTGCAGCAAACAGCCCTGGGACCTACAGCAGAGCAAGTAAGCAGAGATTGGTGCTGTCCTGCGTGTTTTGGGGATGGGAGAGTAAGTCTTTGGTGTAAAGGGGCAGGGAGAAGGGATCATCTTTTGTGGAAAGGTCCCATGTGCTCAGAGGACTAGAGCTCCAGGTTCAAGAGAGATTCTCCAAACAACAAAAGCTTCTCATTTGTTCCAGGGCCTCCCTGCCTTTGCATAAACTGGCTCTATGAAGTAAGGGCTTGTGCTGGACTCTGCCCTGCAGCTGGCTTTCAAAGGCATGTTGGGGGACCCTGCAGGCAGTGCACGAGCTGCCTCAAAGGCTGAAGCATTCCATTTTGTTATTTTAAAAAATTTCCTAAGGGTATAAGAGTGTGTGTGTGTGTGTGGTGTGTGTGTGTGTGTGTGTGTGTGTGTGTGTGTTTGAAAGCTTTGCTCGACAAGAGGAAATCTACCTTCATGTCCAACTCTGCTTTAAAAGACTTTCTGAAGTAAAAGCAAACTCCACGCCTTACGAGAACTTAATTCTTCCTTTAATATAAATAAGGCAGCACGAAACCCCAAGAGCCTGCTGCTTCAGAAGCAGCCCTGTTACACGACAGGCGCCTCTTCCAGCCAAGTGCCCCAGCAAACAAGAAGCCAGGTGTTCATCCTGTGACCCTTCTCCCAGAAGTGAAAGGGGAGTCCCAGGAGGGGTGTGGTCTTGGCTTCTGAAAGCTGGTTCTTGGTTGCTGGGCTTTCTTCGATGCACCACGGGATCTGAATGAACAGGGATAAGGCACAGATGACAATAAATAAGGACGTCTGTCCTGACTCTGAGAGGTACCTGGACAGGGTGGCTCAGGGCTGCGGGCAGAGCCACACTTTGAGGAGGCTTGTTTACAGGGCCCCCCATGAAGCTGTGGAGGGGCGGACCACCTATGTTCACTCTGACTCCTGCTTATACTCAGGCATCCTATTGTCTCTGGTTACTCCGCATGCAGTAGGCCCTCTCCACCATTGATTAGGCTTGGTGGCTAACTGGTCCATCTTCTGGAGCCCTCTGAGGCTGCAGGAGGCATGTGTGGAGCTGTGGGAAGCCTGGTTTTGTTCCCTGCAAGGCTTGTCGTCTTAATTTCTGGAGGGCTAGCGGGTGCCACCTGGTTCTTCATTTGTGTTTCTTCTTTGATCCACTGTAAAGGTTGCTAAGAGAAGAGGCTGCTGGGTCCTTTGGAAGAGGCCTGGACAGGAGCCCAGCTCCAGCCTAAAGCTCTGGTGCATGTCTGAGCCCACAGCACTCCTTAGAGTTCCAGGCTGTGCCTGAAGAATCACATGGATCCCCAGAGAGCCCAGCTTCCATCACGTTCTTTCAGTCTGGGTCATCCATGAGGTCAGCAAGGCCTGTGCAGAAGAGACCAAGGGGTGATGCCCACTTGGAGCCAGGGCCTGTGAGATGCTTTGGGTCCACGGGCCAGAGCTGAGTTCTCATAGCACCTCTGACTTATAAACCTACACTCCCTGTAACCAGGACTGACTTATAAGCCTACACTCCCTGTAACCAGGACTGACTTATAAACCTACACTCCCTGTAACCAGGACTGACTTATAAACCTACACTCCCTGTAACCAGGACTGACTTATAAACCTATACTCCCTGTAACCGGGACCCTGAGGATAGCTTAGAGCTGTCAGTATCCTTGCTTCAGGGCCCTGTAACTTTCTCCAAAGTGGTCCAAAGTGCAAGGCAGACACAGGTATCTGTGCCCCTCTACCACACTGCTGGCCAAGAAGACCAGAGATGGAGATGGGAGGGGCTTCTGAGCCAGCAACCAATGTGGTAATTGGTACCCTCGGTGGTCAGGACCTGGTACATGGTAAAGGGACAGGGAGAAGGTGTGCACCTGAGTAAGATGTGTGGCTGAAAACCTGGCCAGCTGTAGACTCTCCACCACCAAGTACCCATTTCTGTGTAATGGGGACATTAGCCACAGGGCTCCTGGACCTCTGCCAGGTATTTAAAAAAGGGTGGCCACCGTGGGACCTCTGTTATTGTATACGATGTGGTCCAAAGGCTGTGAGTTCCCACATCTGTCCCCATTCGTGATTCAGCTGCATACAACCGGGGCCAAGAGACCCCGGAATAGAGTGTTGGGTCTTAATTGGACCCCCAACAGCATCCTAGCAGAAGCCCTGTCGTCTGAAGCACAGAACGGACTGTGATGCAAAAAGGATTACATTCAAATCAGCACTTGCCTCTCTCTAACTCAGTGCCGGGGAGACTGCTCCGTCAGCATCTGGGTCATTCATTCATGGTGATCGAAAACTAAGCTGCCAAGTATCGGTGCCCAAACCTGAACAACCGTTTCACCAACAAGCCCCCGTGGCAGACAGGCAAACCAGTGTCCAGTTGCAGTTCCTGTTTCCCTCACTCTCCAGGACCTGGCTTCCCAGCACGCTGAACTTCAGCTCTCCCCTCTAGGCCTACCGTGTTTCCTGCATGGGGCTACAGAACCCCGGTAGGGTAGACACAGGGGATGTTGTTGTCCCCCTGGCCCTCGCATTTCACGGTCTACAAGGCGACAGCTTTTGGTGGTGGGCTAGCACGGTCTGAAGGGACATGGAGGGAATATTCCCTAATGAGCGTTGGGGCATTCCTCAGCATCTCATAGAAGAAGTCCATTGTGCTGTGGTAAAGAGTCCGCTGCAGAACGAAGGGCCGGAAGAGGTTTATAGGCTCAGCTCTCCGCACGACCTCTGGGAGTCCCATAGCCTCAGGCACCTTGTGGTTGCCCACAAAGAAGTGATGGAGCTTCTTCTCCTGGAGGCTTCTCTCCAGGAAGCGGAAGAGCTCCTGCAAACGCACACCCAGCTGGCTGGCCTTCCAGTCAGCGGCCTGCCGGGACAGCAGAAGGTGCAGCAGGACCGTCTTTAGGTGGTAGCTGTGCAGCCCGCTGGGGCCTGACAGGCGGCTCTGCTTGGAGAGCAGGAAGGAAGCGATCTGCAGACAGCTAAGGTGGCAGGTGTCCTCCGGCAAAGCCTTCCCGATCATCCGGAGGAACTGTCGCTCGGAGACAGCAAATGACAGGAACCAGTCGGTGCTGGAGGCTGGAGGTCCCCCATGCGGCTCCTTGGGAAGCTGTGGGACAAAGTATAGGTCGGAGTCGTTACACTGGATCACAGGAGTCAGGATGAAGGGCATGAACTTCCCCGAGCGGAACTTGATTCTGAGAGACCCCGGGGTGTCTAGCTGGCCAAAGGCAAGGTCAAATTCATATTTGTGGGCAATGCGGTGCCAGGCTCTGGTGAGGGCCACCTGGAACCACTTCATGACCTGCATGGCGTCCAGATGTGAGGTCTCTCTGGAACACAGCAAGTCCTTCATCTCATCACCTCCACCTCCGCTGGGCTGTACCCCGCCACTCTTGCCGTGGAGGAGACAGAGCATATCTTCCCCGAGCTTAGTCTTGCTGCAGGCACAGCCTAGAGGGTCCCCATCGGCCAGGGTCACCTTGATCTGGCCATATCCCTGCCGATCCAGGGGCACCGAGAGGCTGGAACACCAGAGCTCTGGGCGGAAGCTGTAGGGCTCCGGGGGTGTGAAGGGCACATACAGGTGGCACTGGAGCGGTCTCTCCACCTGCCAGTTTTCATACATGCTACCCACACCGATGAAGTCCTCCATCTCCGTGTCAGTGCTCCGGCTGTAGACACTCCTCAGAGCTTCCAGCAGGTCATCCACGAAGCCTTCCACAAACTCCCTGGTACGGGCAGCATCACTTGTGGCGCTTCGGATACAGTGCTCATAGAAGTGGTCCAGGGTGGCCTTATTGGGCAGGGGAAGGCCCTTCAGTGGGGCGCCCCCCAGTCCAGACAGCTCATCCTCATCTCCAGCCGGGCACTCTGGGAAGGGCGCGTCCTGGTAGTCCTGCCGCCATATCTCGATGATCAGGAAAAGGATCATGCAGAGAGTGCTCCAGAGGTTCCAGGCAGTGTAGGCCTCGCGCTGCTGCTGGCCCTCCTCCTCGGCCTGCTTCAGGGCCTCCTTCTCGGCCAGCAGCCGCGCCACCTCCTCCTCCAGACGCAGCTGCTCCAGCTGCAGCTTCTCCTGGTGTTCCTGCATCTTGCGGAGGATCTCCTCCTCGTTCTCTGGAACTGTGGCATTCTCCCGGGGGAACAGCAGGGGGTGGTTAACGATGGCTGTCACCACCACTAGACATACCCGGAAAAGTCCCAGGGCCATGGCTGTAGTATTCCTAGGAACAGAGAAAGACACTGCTGGTCACACCTATGTTTCCTTCAAGGACCCTTTTCCTTGGACCCTTGCGCCAACCTCTGCCCCCAAAAGGTGGTGCGGGTCCTCACACTCAACCCCAGGGGTCTCCTGTAACTGTCTCCCATGCTCTGGCCCAGCCTCAGGCTTACACATGCCACAGACATTTCTTTGTCTGCGGAACACAGCTTTTCTTGATGGGATCAGAACAGTCTTGACCCCGAGGATCAACCTTCTCTCTTCCTGGTCCTTTGGTTGGGGTAGATATAAACCTACATCTCAGATCCAGGGGACCAAACCCAAATCCAGACGCCAGTCCCGAGACAACAAGACTACTCTATACAGCCACAGCTACACCCACAGTGATTGGTTCTGTGGTGAATATATGAACGCTCTGAGCCAATGGGAAGAAAGGCTTTCCTTGTGGCCAGCTAGGGCTGTCTGATAACAGGATGACTTCTATAGTGTGGGCTGCTCTTCCGCCACCAGCAAGGGGACCCCGCCATCAACACAGATTGAAGCACACCCTGCACTCAGCTGCGTATGACACCATTACTTCTGGCTTTTCCGGTCGGGTCAGTGCAGGCATCCTTTCTCTGCAAGCTATGTGAGTTGTTCTCCAACCATCAAACTCCTCGGCCTCAGACACTGCCTTCCACCACGCTGAATTTTGTTTAGTGAACGCGTCTTCCTGGCAGTGTGGTGCTGGGTGTGTTAACTCACCTCTCTGGGCCTAGGGTTCTTGGTTTAAGAGAAGAAGGTAATTATATCCCCAGAGGGTCACGGGATTGATGCCACTTGCTTCTCTTACCTCAGCATTTGAACTCCGAATGACCTCTTAATAGTCTCTCCAGCATGAATGATTTTTAAGCCTTAAATAATTTTTGGGAGAAAGGCTAACCTCTTGCAGTATTTGTGAGGGAAACTGATACACAGAGCACTGGTGAAGCATCGCCTGGAATCTTGCTAGGGACCCAGAATCAGGCTGACACACTTAGGAGATGGAGTCAGGAAGGCTGCCATGAGATTCAAGGTTAGCCTAGGCTCAACAGCAAGGCCCCATCTTCCCACCCGCAAAACACGGGGGCTTTAGCAGGTAACCATATTTAGTTCCTCTCCAATATCACACAGCTCACAATCTCCTGTCCTCCAGTTCTAGAGGAATTGATGTCCTATTCTGTCTTCTGTTCTCCAGGGCACACACACACACACACACACACACACACACACACACACACACAGAGAGAGAGAGAGAGAGGGAGAGGGAGAGAGAGAGAGAGAGAGAGAGAGAGAGAGAGAGAGAGAGAGAGAGAGAGAGAGAGAGAGAGAGAGAACCAAAACAAACCAGCAGACAACTAAATACAGAACCCTAGCCCCCCACCTGACCTCACGCAGAATCACCCAGCCATCTGGGGCTGGAGAGACGGCTCTGTGATTAAGAGCACTGGTTACTGTTGTGGGATATTTGTACACTGAGTGAAGATGTATTGTGATTAGTGTAATAGAAAGCTGAACAGCCAATGGGTAGGCAGGAGAGTATAGGCAGGACTTCTGGAAAGAGAGAGAACTCTAGGAAGAAGAAAGGCAGAGTAGCCAGTCAGATGTGGAAGAATGTAGATTTAAAAGATGGGTTAGTTTATAAGAACAAATTAGGAACAAGTTTAAGCTAAGGCCGAGCTTTTATGACTAATAATGAGTGTCCATGTTTATGTGGGCTGGAGGTCCTGACAGGTTGCTGCTTTCAAGGACCAGCATTTGATTCCTATCACCCACATGGTAGCTCTCAACTGTCTATAACTCCTGCTCCAGGGGACTCAGACGCCCTCTTCTGGTCTCCTTGAGCACTGCATGCTTGTGGTATGGACATATGTGCAGACAAATCACCCGTTCCCATTTTTTAAAAAGTTCTTTAGAGTCAACTATAACTTTTAAGTTCCATTCTGAGGAAGGTGTTGAAATCATGGTGCTCCATTCTTTCCAGCATGAAATATGAGTCATACATCTGTCCAAAATAATCCCCTCAGTATACACTACCCACTCATTAGTAACTAGTGAGCCACCCTGGTCATCAGACAGGCTGCCATGACATCACAGTGCTGTGGTCAAGCAACCCTTATTTAACTTTATACCGGCGATGTGGATATTCGGAGGAGAAGCAGAAGAGGGCTTCTGTAATGTGAGATGACTCGAGCGAAGAAACAAAACCATATCCCAAGGCTCCTGGGTCTCCTGTCGAACACTGTGACGAAGGAAAAGAAATTCTTGTGAGCTTTGCTGTTGCACCTCACACTGCAGGAGCTATAGCTGTAATGTGTGGTGAGTGGAGGGAGAGACCTTAGAAAGGCCTTAGGGGTGTGTGTGCGTGTGCGCGCACATGCGTGTGCGTGCATGCACACATATCTAGGATAAGGGGCACCTCAGCATAATCTTACATTGCACCCCTCTCCTTTCCCAGCAGGAGCCTTGAGAACTAACCAATTACCCTTTCCATACCTGCCCTGTCCCTTTCCTTCCTGACCTCAGCAGAGAGAGGAAAGATCTTTTTTTTTAATAAGGAAAAAAGAATTTATTGATATCACAATGGATGTTGCAATGCTCTGAGGCAAGGAAATCATGCCAAAAGGAAATTGGGGGAACTGATCGCGTTTGGTTTGCAGTCAAAATAAAGAAAACTGGATCACTTTCTTTTTCTAATACAGTTCAGGATCCTATGATACAGTTAAGACAAATATTCCCAAATAAATTAATGTGTTCAGGACAATCACTCCCTCAAAGGCATGCTCAGAAACCTATGTCTCAGATAATTCTAGGTTTTGTCGAGTTTACAGTTATTAACCACCCGTCGCAGCTCTGGACTCATCATTTGACACCCAAAGACATCATTTTTAAGCTGTAACTCTCCACCCTTGTTCATATTCTCTTGTTCTTCTCATCATATAAAATACAATTTAAGTTTGAAAGATCATCTAGACATTAACAGCTGAGTGTGTTGTTGGACAACAAAGAGAAGAGCCCTTGGGGGCAAGCCAACACCGGCTGACAGGAATTTCTAGGCCCTTTGGTTTGAGTCCTCTGATGTTGAATTTGCATGAGGAAATTCTTACCCTCATGGTACCCGGATAAAGGGGTTCACCAGCAGGTGAGGATTCCCCAGCAAGGCGAACATGTACACTGGCAGCCTGTGCTGGCTGTTGACCAGGGAAAGCCACTGTTCAAAGGTGACTCAGACAGCTCCACCCCAAACACAGTTGCACAAGTCAGCAAGATCCAGAGGGGCTAGGGAGTGGAGGCTAGCCCCAGGGAATTCCCAGAGGAGACAAGTTCGGGCTGAGCTCTGAAGAGCTCATAGGTTTCTATGGAGCAGAAAGCCAGGGATGGGAGAAAGCGCAAGACGTGGGATGGAGGAAGAGGTAGGATGGGGGAAAAGTCCAGGGGCAGCCAGCCAGCTTCCCACTCCCGGGCTGGGGAGGAAAACTATGCTGGATAGCCACGGAAACTGAGAGGCCATGGTTTCCACAACACAGAGACAGCCACGTGGGATGGCCCACGGCAGAACTGTGAGGCTGGCTGACGGGCATGGTTGTGGACTTTAAATAGAGTACCCGCAGTGTAACACCAGATGGCAGCCAGCTAGCTAGGTGACTATAGGCGGTTCCGAGGTCCTTCACGGCCCCGGGAACGCAGGCAGCGGCCTTTGGGTCCAGCTGTACTCTTGAGAGCTCCCGTGGACAGGAGTCGGTTTCCACATCAATAGAGGAGGGAGAATGGGCCATCAGATGGGGAGTGTGGCCAACACGAAGCCCCAGACTGGAAAATGCTCCTCCCCTTCATACAATGGCTTCAACTCTAGCACCAGAGCAAGGCCTTATGCCTGCTAGGAAGCTCGACTCTAGGAGCCCCCTTGTTCAGAACTCAAAACCTAAGAGTCAAAAGCACTTGGAGGAGACAGACTAAGTTAGGAAAAGGATAGGCATCTTGGACAAATTACGGTTTTCCCCATCCTCTCTCTGCATCTGTCAGGTGGGAAGAGAGATACCTGGTGTTGGAAAGCCCAACTAAGGCAATGCCCTCAGAGCCCTAGTGAGATCTGAGCCACTGACTGAGTGCTCTTATCAAAAGAGTAGCTGTGACTGAGTGGGAATACGCAGATGTCCCTGCCTGCAGGGGGCTCTGGAAGGACACAGGCAGCACCCATGGGGGCTACAGACAGACTTTGTCCAGAGCACCAGGCAAACAACACAGCAGACATAAGGCGTCCTGCCTTAGAGACGCCCAGCAGACCTGGCTTTGAACTTTGGCTCTGGCCCTGGCGGTGGCGCCTTCTCAGGCGGATCACTCATCTTCTCGAGGGCTCCCATCCTCATCCCCGAAGAAGAAGAAGACTCCTCCTTTATAAGGGTGCTAGGGTCAAGTGCACACGGGTGCTCAGCATGGTGTCCGGCACAGAGCAGGCACCCCACATGTGAGAGTTTCTTTCCCTCGGCCTCCACAGGCCTGTTTTCTCACCTGCCAAGCACCCCAGCCCTGCCCAAGTCTTGGGGTGTGGAGGAATGCACGCTGGAAAGTGCTGTGGTAGCAGAGAACACTGCCCTGCTCCTGCTGCTCCTGGGCACAGTGCTCCTTCCTCCCTGCCTCCCAGCACATGGGGGGACTCCTTCAGAGTCTGGGCCTGCCTGTGATGAGGGAGGTCCTGATGACTCACCCTGCTCAGCAATCACCCCCTTCCCAGGGATTTAACCCAGTTACCTCTGTGGAGGCTGTAAGCAGAGCCCCAAGGATGGGGTGGGAGGGCCAGGCCAAGATACTGAATGCTTATAGCCACTCTGTGCCTGCCACCCAGTCTGCCAGAGCTGGGATCGAAGCCTCTGCTCTTCTGGTTCCCAAGCCACTTAACAGGGACCTTCCTGCCCTGAAGGCCCTGGGCAGGAGCTGGGAAGGCTTTGTGTTCTGATGTAAAGCTCTCGTAAACCAGGAATACATGCATGTACACACACTCATATGTGCACACACACTCACAAGCGCACACACCCTTCCCCAAAGGGCACTCCAAGGACATCTGTCTCTGCTGGTCCCAAAGTTCTCAGCCTTGCGACTGTCCCACACCTGTGGTTTCTGACATCTGTTGGCAGCCTTGGCTCTGGGAATAAACCTGGGTCATTTGGCGGGCTTTCGCCTGCTTGCCAGGAAGCCGACAGGAAGTTTGCCGAATTCCTCTCTACTCCAGCCTCACCCACGGGGAGGGTGGCTCATAGGGCTAAACTTAGCCTGGCAAAGAGCCAGGTCCTGGGGTACAGAGGCTGGGGAAGATGGTGACCCCTGGGTGTCTCGGTGAATGCGGTGGCTGGGACAGGTTCTCTACTGGGTTTTTCCTGTAGGGCTGGTCAGAAGAAAAACTTGAGGTGGCTACTTAAGGGGGTCCCTGATTCCGGCACCCCAGAGCATCCCTCACTATGGCTTTGGCGAACAAACACTTTATTGGCAGCAGCTCCTGTCCGACAAGCCCTCAGGTGGTTGGCACTGTCCACAGTGACCATTGTGACCTTCCAAGAGGTGGCTATGATCCCTGGTTCACAGATGGGTTAATCAAAACTCAGAAGACTTTCTAGACACGTGGTTATGGAAGCCAGAGTGAGTTGGAATTCCAGCTGCTCTGTTTGCCTCACCCAGGCTTCCCCACTGTGCTGCTGCGGCTACTGCACGGCCAAGCGCCCGAGTGTGAGGAGAAGGCTGGATGCTTCAGGCTCCCCAGTGATGAGCACAGTGCCATCTCTGACAGGAAAGTCCAGGCGGGGAGTCAGACAGCCCCACACACCTCACTGGGGCTCACGGGAGCACAGAGAGCTATATTCCTGTCTTTTGAAGGCTCTTTTGGCCCCACCCACCGGTGGGCACGTCAGGTTCCCAGCTCCACACTCACTCCGTTCTCTCCTTTCACAGAATTCTGCAACAAGCCTGTGCCCTTTTCCTCAGGCCCCATGCCCACTAGGATCTCAGCCACTAAAGCGCCTCAGCCTCAGACCATGCCTCAGAGACACGGGGCCTCCCTCTGGGATTACAGGTCTCCAAGGCTCCCAGAAGCAGCACCACCTGGGTGTTTTCCAGACAGACGCATTTCCAATGCCACCTTCTGCGAGCATTGAGAAAGACCAGGGTGGGGCCTGACGCTGGTGTTTTAGCATACTCTCCTGGTGCTTCCTGGGCCCCTCAGTGTTCAAGTCTAAAGTCGGGTTCCTAAGTCAGGTACCCTCCGGGGAGAAGGGAAGTGAGACTCCCGCAGTGTCCCAGCTGGACTCCGGCACTTGCCAAGGGCTCCTGTCAGATGTAATTAGCTCTGCTAATTAATTACAATAGCAGTCCTGGAGAGGCAGAGTCCAGAGGAACATCTGATGGCTTCCTTACTGAAATGGAAAATAGGAGTGGTTGATGGCAGATCGTGTGTGTGTGTGTGTGTGTGTGTGTGTGTGTGTGTGTGTCTTGGTGTGGTAGTGGTGTGTTTTTTCTAAGTTCTGGATCCTTCGAGAAGGGAGTCAAGAAGACCCAGGTTATCCTGTCTGTGCTGAACCCTTCTGTGTGCTGAGCCTTCTGTTTGGGTTTCCAATTCCAGTTAATGATATCCAGGTTTGTCAGGGAAGTAAAGTCAATACTGAGAAAGTAAGAATTTAGAATTGCACTAATCTAGGCCCAGTTTATGGACTTGCAAACTGAGGCCTAAAGAGGAGCTAGGTTGGACCTGGAGGGTGATGTAGTGGGGGCTGAGGCAGACTGGGTACCCTCCTTGGGCCCTGCCAGGTGACATCTGGTAGGAATTTCTGTGCAGAAGCATAGCAGAAGAGGCTTTCATTATTGAGAGCTACTCCGTGCCAGGCCCTTTGAACACGCTATCTACCGGTGCCAGACACGGTGCTAAGAACTCTGCGTGTGAGTATCTTTAACTTTCGGAACATCAGCTTGGCAGCTGCACCATCCAGACGATCCGCAGTGTGACTGTCAGTGAGCATCACCCCAGCCAAGCCAGGCCTTTTCCTCTGCCCTGTCTCCATTCCTCAGGAGACTGGGGAACTGGGTGAACGGGTCCATCACTTTCTGCTCCTAATGGGTGCCTCATGGCCCCCAATGTGAGTGGCAACTGACCATATCACCAGGGTGACTGTCTCTCAGGCTTCCTAGGCCTGGAGATTCAGGGCCACATCATGAAGGCTCTGCTGACTGCAGAGCCCTTTTTGGCCTTTGTCTTGGTTT